TTCTTTCTTTCTTTCTTTCTTTCTTTCTTTCTTTCTTTCTTTCTTTCTTTCTTTCTTTCTTTCTTTCTTTCTTTCTTTCCTTTGTTTTGCTTAAATGGGTCTTTAATTGAGCCAGCAAGCTCTTAAAACTGGTCCCTAAATCATTTCAGCTCCTTTAAATCTCAGCATTCATATTTAATATAAATTACAATAATCTGAACCATCAAGAGGGAGCTTAATTGGGATAATGTATGTTGTTTACAGAGTGAAAGTTAGTTTCTTCCCTCAAATACTGCATTCAGTTTAATAACAGTGGTGTACTTCTTCTGAGCTGTTTTACACAGAAAGCAGCTGCTGAAGTAGCAAAGATACACTTTAAAATGAAACACCTGCTAAAACAGGCTGTTTGACGAGAACACACTGGTGAGAATTAAGACTGATTCAAGAAAGGGACATTTTTTTATACTTAAGAATAAAAAAATCCTGAACACAGAATTTTATTTTATATGTGTCTCTAGAAAGGAGAAGACCAGGAGGCACAAAACTGAGAACTGAGAGGAGCCTCTGGTTTCCTTTGGTTTGTGAGCTGACATTTGTGACTACTGACAAGTGCAGGAAAAAGAAAAATACATATTACTGGATGTGTAAAATTATCTGACATGGCATTAACGCAAATGTTCAATTATGTGTAAAAGTCTAAAAAAAGTTAATTAATCTCAGAAGAATTTTGATCATTTAAATCAGTAAATAACCTCAGTAAACTCAAAAGCAGCTACAATAAGACATTAGYAGCCCTGACCTCACTTAATTTTCTTCTGCAACCTCTGTCCAGGAGACAGTTTGACCAACCACAACTCAATGAAGTTCACCACCTATGACAAAGACCAGGACGCATGGGAAAAAAACTGTGCGCAGAGTTATCTGGGTGGATTCTGGTACAATGCCTGCCACATGGCCAATCCCACCGGCATGTATGCCCCTCATAGATCCATCGGATTTGAGAACGCTCAAATTGTTTGGCACGCGTGGAAGGGCTGGGACTACTCCCTGAAGACCRTCGCCCTGAAGATCAGACCACTGGTCAAGTGCTCGTGCACACAGTGACCATTTTTCATGAACTTTAAATGATCATTTTAAATGTGATTAAAGTTGTGAAAATAGAAACTAGCGTTTGGGTTGGGGTTTTGCAGTGATAATAAAACTATCAGACTCAAATTACATTTTAATGTCACTCTCAGAGTGTGTGTTCTGAACGACTCAGCTACCACAATACCACAAAATCTGTAAAACTGACTGAATAACCATTTTCTGTGTTTTCTAAGGTCAGTTGACTCTGGCAGCCATCTTGGATTGGCTTCAGAAGTTATTAGAATTATTTCATTTTCTCATTAGATATTTTACTAACAAACAAGCTGATAATGGCAAAAAACTTAAACAGACATTGAGCAACTGCTGTACTTCATATTTTAAGTTAACATCTGTCAAATTGAGTGAGTTATAGACCTTTTTTGTATTTTATTGTTGATTAGCTGTGGCAATGATTTTGAATCAGATTAACTCACAAAATGAATCAGAACTAAATGATTCTCAAATGATTATGATCTGATAAATCTCTCCTCTTTTCTTTTCAATAAATAAAATCTTACAGGAACCATGTTTGTGGCATTGAGAACTGACTCCACATGGGATGTAAAGTAGATAAATGTTAGATTTTCTCTCTTAGCAGCAGCTGTTTGTTAACAACACAGAGACAGGGTGTCCAGCTGACACAGGGTGTCAGTGTTGTGCTGAACGTTTTAATGCTGCTTGTCTGGACTGCATTTTACAAAGTTTACATATTTTAGCTTTTAACTTTTGTGCTTAGTTCAGCTCTTATTTAGACTTCAAAACACATATTAAATTAAACTAAATGCTAATTGTTTTAATGTCACAACCAAGTAATGATG